TGGCTTGCCCTCAGAGTAGGGTTTTTTTTTTTTTTCTTTTTTTTTTTTTTCCTTTTTGTCTTTTTTACTGACCGGTAACGGGATCGCAACCCTCGGTGTTGCGCCCGCACCGTGCTCAGCCAGTGAGCGGGAACCGGTCTCCACATGGGATCCGAACCCTTGGCGGGAGTGCCGCTGCGCTCCCAAGCGGCGCACTCTCCAGTGTGCCACCGGGCCGACCCAGAGTAGGGTTTTGCACGTGGTACATTCTCAACAAATATTTGTTGAATCGGCCCATTTTTTTTTCTGACATCAAGTTAGCTTAAAATTGAAGCACACCATGGTCAAGAGTTCGGATCCCCATACTGGTCAGCAGCCAAAAAAAAGAAAGAAAGATGGTGATGATATGAACAGAGGAGATAAAAAAAAACTGAAGCACAACAGTGATCTGTTAAACCAACTATTATAAACATAATAGCAGCCTGTATTAGCGTAATTTATATGTGCTAGGGACACCTGCTTTCCCGGAGGTGTCTGCCGACCCAGGGAAAGGCAAAGGCCTGTCTGTGTATGCGGACACTTATCCTCTTTGTTGCATAGAATCCAAATATTTTATTTTGGGGGAATTACAAGACAGATAAGAAATAGGACCTGTATCAGTACGGATACAATCAAGAAAGAGAAACCACACAGTAATTTGAACAGGGAAGATTTAGTATAAAGAATTAACTACAACAGGTAATTGGAGTAAAGAGGAGTTGACTAGTAAGAAGTACGAAAATTCTAAATATAGAAATAGCAAGTACAAGGAGGAGCTGCTACCCCCAGGGCTGAGCTAGGGGCACAAGGCAGAGGCTCCCCACTGCAGGGCTGAATCCAGACGTTGTTAGATATGGGATCCGAACCCGTGGCCTTGGTGTTATCAGCACCACACTCTCCCGAGTGAGCCACGGGCCAGCCCTGTACAGACATTTTTTACTCAAGACATCAGGTAGCACTTTTTCCCTGGCTTGAGACAAGTAGAAAAGCATAAAAACTAATTATGAAACTGCATAATATTTGGTCTTCATCCTGGTTTCCTAAAATCCTTGGAATCTCCAAAGTGTTTAGATTGTCTTTTGTATGCTAATGAGATGGCTGGTGGCTGGGGACCCCTAGATAGCCTCAGGATGGGGGCTGATAGCCAGAGGAACCAACCCCGTGATTAGAGACTTGGCAATTTTCAGTCCTCCCCACCCCCACCTTTGGGGAGAGGACAAGGGAGACTGAAGGTTGAGTCAATAAACCAGTGGCCAATGATTTAATCAATCATGCCTACATAAAGGAGCTTCCATAAAAATCCCGAAGGACTAAGTTCTGGGAGCTTCTGGATAGTGGAACATGTGAAAGTTCCTGGAGGATGGCACACCCAGAGAGGGCATGGAAGCTCTGTACCCCTTCCCACATGCCTTGCCCTGTGCATCTCTTCCATCTGGCTGTCCATCTGTATACCTAAGTAGTGATTCCCTGAGTTCTGTGAGTCACTCTAGCGAATTAATCAAATCTGTAATTGCTCCCCAGTTTACAGCCAGTTGGTCAGAAGTTGTGGAGACCTGGATTTGTGACTAGCACCTGAAGCGGGAAGCAGTCTTGTAAGACTGACCTCTCAGCCTGTGGGATCTGACCCTATCTCCAGGTAGAAAGTGTCAGAACTGAATTGGATTAGAGGGCACCCAGCTGGTGTTGGCTGCAGAACTGATTCCTTGCTTGGTGTGTGAGGAACATCCCCACTCATTTGGTCACAGAAGTCTTCTGTGCTGTGGTGAGTAGAGAACTGGAAAAAGCATTTCGGTTTGGTGCTTTCCTACATCTTACAGTGACTAACTCCGTTAGACACGTCTCAAACTAAAGCTGGGTGGCCAAGGAGGTTACAAAAATAAATTCAGCAGACCAGGTATATGAAAAATCAAATGCCAGAAAAATAACCCAAAACACTTAAACTTAATTTTATTGAACCACAGTGTAAGCACATAAAATATAACATTTATAATACTGAATATTTCAAAGTTAAACATTTTAAAATACACATTGAAAAATAGAAATCCTTAATTATTAAAATTTTCTTTCAAAATGTTACTCCTTTGACTTGGAACCAGAAACCTGACACTTTTCTGCACCAATATGTCAATGTCTGGTCTCATATTGCGAGTTGCGATGTGTGGAACTGAATTCAATCTCGTACCCTATAACTGGGAGCAAAATTTACTTTTACTCAATTTCATAACAGAAAACAGCTGTTCACAGATACAGGCGCTTCCAAACATGGACAGAATCTTTGCACAATGGTTTCAATATCTAGGGTAACTCTTGCCAAGGTATTTGTAGAATTCTGATATTCCAATGTCATATTTCATTTTCAGTACTGTATTGCACTGCATTCCAATAACTTCCATTTGTAATTCTTCCTTCACACTATCAATGTTAATTGAGAAAGGTGAGCTAAACAACATGAGTTCATTTTTGTAACATCTGAAATCAAAGAACCTTTTTTGGAATTCAATCTTCAACTCTACAATTTGGGGGATGTAGATTAAGCCATCATTTTCATTTCTGGAAACTGATTTCAGTATAGGAAAGTGGGCCAGATTATTTACCGCCAAATGAGTTTCCCAAAGACTCAATTTCACTAGGAAAGAACAAATTCAATCATACATTTGTGTAACTACTTGTGAATGCTTTTGCAGAGGAATATTCAAAGCGTTTAGATGGTTTGTAATGTCAACTAAACAGGCCAGGTCTCTTGATCCAGTCTTCACTTGTGAGCTGAGGAAGGGATTTTCCCTTGGAAGACATGAACAAATCGATTTCTTTTTTTTTTTCCTATATAAAGATGACCGGTAAGGGGATCTTAACACTTGACTTGGTGTTGTCAGCACCACGCTCACCCAGTGAGCAAACCGGCCATCCCTGTATAGGATCCGAACCCGTGGCCTTGGTGTTATCAGCACCGCACTCTCCCGAGTAAGCCACGGGCCGGCCCACAAATCGATTTCTTTTGTCAACTCAAAAGATCTCTTCAGTATCATATCACGACTAAGCCACTTACCTTTGTATGGTAAAGGAGATTACCATATTGTACATCCAGTTCCTCAAATAAAGCACTGAATTGTCTGTGGTTGGAGGCACAGGAGCGTATCTAGTTTACTGTGTTAATCGCTATCTCCATGACATGTTCTAGTTTTAACTTTTTAGTACAAAGCAATTCCTGGTGAATAATGCTATGAATGGATTTAAGTTCTACACACTTGCAAAACTTTGTGACCTTGGATTTAAGTTTTGCAACAAGTCCAGTGTTATCACAGACCATCACAGGAGCGCCATCTGTGGTCACGCTTACTAATTTTGACCAGTCAACAGTAAACTTTTCGAGACTTTTCTCGACATACAAAAATAAGTTGTTTTCAGTTGTTAGGTCTGTCATGGGTACCATGTCTAAAAGTTCTTCACTGATGTTAAAATTCTCATCAACACCACGGATAAATACAATTAACTGGCTTGTATTAATTTATATATGCTCTCATCAACTGCAATAGAAAATGTCATAAATGGGGCCGGCCTGTGGCTCACTCGGGAGAGTGCGGTGCTGATAACACCAAGGCCACGGGTTCGGATCCCATATAGGGATGGCCGGTTGCTCACTGGGTGGGCGTGGTGCTGACCAGTATCACTTATTTTATTTGCATTTGATGATAAATGCTGAAGAAAGTTTAGTCCTTTTTAAAGTTTTTTTTTCATCATGCATCTTTTCTGTATACCAGTCAAAATTCTTACTATGGTTTCTTTGTTTTTTTTTTTTTTTTTTTTAAAGATGACCGGTAAGGGGATCTTAACCCTTGACTTGGTGTTGTCAGCACCACACTCACCCAGTGAGCAAACCGGCCATCCCTATATGGGATCCGAACCCGGGGCCTTGGTGTTATCAGCACCGCACTCTCCCGAGTAAGCCACAGGCCGGCCCTGGTTTGCTTCTTAATGGTGCCTTAAGTTGTATTCTTTTTTTTTTTTTTGTCTTTTTTCGTGTCCGGCAACGGGATCGCAACCCTCAGTGTCGCGCCTGCACCTCGCTCAGCCAGTGAGCGGGAACCAGTCTGTATGTGGGATCCGAACCCTCGGCGGGAGCGCCGCCGCACTCCCAAGCGGCGCACTGTAGCAGTGCGCCACCGGGCCGGCCCAAGTTGTATTCTTTTGACACAAAGTTTGGTTACGTATTAAACACACAGGGCTATTCTTTACTTACACAAAGAAATACGCTCGCTCCCACTTTTCTTGAAATGTGCCATGTCCTCGATCCATTTTTTGTTTTCCCACTTTTGATAGAGACATAGGTACAAAAAGAGAGTTCACTTTTCTTTACTATGAGAGAAACAACAGCATAGGCTTGATGATAAATGGTGACTGACATTGGTTTTGAGGGACAACAGGCAGGGGTGGGGACTGCAGCTAACTGCACAGCCTTCCAAAGGGAGCAGCCTCTACTCAGCTAGGGCAGATTGCTGGTATGTGGGAACACAGGTCCAATGTCAACAGATCTTTCCAATTTTTTTTTTTTTTTTTTTNTTCACTGATGTTAAAATTCTCATCAACACCACGGATAAATACAATTAACTGGCTTGTATTATTTATATATGCTCTCATCAACTGCAATAGAAAATGTCATAAATGATTTCACTTTTTCTCACAACTTGTCCTGTAAGTTCTCAGCCATATCTTTTACTTGCAGAGCAACAGTGTTTCCAGTTAGACTTATGTTTGCAAATGCTTGTTTCTATTCAGGACACATGATTTCTGCTGCACTCAGTAGACAGTCTTTTATAAACTCACCATCTGTAAAAGGTTTTGATGCCTGGGCAATTTTTCACTCATTACATAACTGCATTTCACAGCAGTATCACTTATTTTATTTGCATTTGATGATAAATGCTGAAGAAAGTTTAGTCCTTTTT